GGGTTGCGATCCGTTGCCGGACACGGAAAAAAAAGACAAAAGACAAAAAAAAAAAAAAAGATAATACGAGTTCAGATCCCCCTACCGGCCAGCTGCCCAAAAAACCCCTCAAAAAAACAACCAAAGAAAAAAAAATAATATGAATCTTTCCATGAACTTTTTTAAGACCCCTCATATAATCAATTTTAAATATAATAGAAATATATTTTTATTATGTATTTATGTATAGTTTAAGATACGAGTATAATAGAAAATTATTGTAATATTTGACTGATTGAAAGTAGGATCAAATTTCTAACAAACTTTAAGATTTATTTTTTCTTTATGATAATCAGTCATATATTTTCTACTGAAATATTATTTGCAAATGCAGAAAAAAAAAGAATAGAAAACTAAGGCCCCACTTCAAGGCAAAATACTTTTTTCTTTATTAGCCATAATGTTGTTTCACATTTATCAGTTTTTCTTTATATGTCTCAAAATAACACAATAAAAGAAAATACCACAGTTACTCTGATTCTTATACACTTGGGAATTTATGTTCATAAAGAGGTATGGAGATTTTTAGATTTTCTCTTTGTCCCTCATGACCATTACGTTCTTTAGTTTTTTCATATTTAGGAACTTAGAGGGGTATACGTCTGTGTCTCACTCACTATTTATTTGGGGGTTGCATTAAACATTACTTATTTTGTTCTCGTTATCCTGCAGGATTTTGCTGAGAAACTACAGTGCAAAGAGGCATCGGTGAGCACTATCACAGAAAAGGTGGATAAGTTAACAAAGAAGCAGAAGTCTCCTGAACACAAGGAAATAAGTCATTTAAACGATCAATGGCTAGATCTGTGCCTTCAGTCTAACAACCTGTGCTTGCAAAGGGAAGAGGATCTTCAGAGAACAAGAGATTACCATGACTGTATGAATGTTGTTGAAGCATTCTTAGAAAAATTTACTACAGAATGGGATAACTTGGCCAGGTAACAGAAATTCTCCAGTGAGTCACCAAAATGCTAAGTCAGAAATTTCCCAATTTCTAGAAAGATTCAAAATGTCTTATTTATGTTTTTAACATCTGTTGTCTATTATCAATACTGGTAAAACATTATAAGGAACTTAAGATTGTCATATGGATATAGAATCATAGTTTCCCTAGATCAATATTAACTTAACCAGTGGGCAAAAGAGAGATGTTTGAAAACAGCACCATTTTTCTCTGTGACCTCAAAGAATATTCCAAAAACTATTACTCTGTGACCTTACAAAATATCCCAAGAATATTTCTAATTTCTTTAGTTACCAATTATGGGACGATCATCTATGAATTCATGAAACAAATCCTTCTTGAACTTATATGTTCCTTAGATCTTTTATCAAGTTTGTAAAGTAATAGATCCTGTGTAATCGTAAAGTTTTGTCTTGTGTGTATCGTATTCTAGAAATTAGTGAACAATCCAAATTCAATTAATTTGTGTGCTTTATGATTTTGTAGTGATCTGAACCCCTCTTAGCATTTTTCTTTGAAAAAATAAGGATCCATGCACACTGGGTCATCATATGAAAACCTCTCCATACTTTTCATCACTAAAATTGTTAAAATCTGAACTTCCTCTGCCGAGATTTATTAGCTGACAGCAATAAAAACCCAACACTATTCTAGATGTAGTTAAATGACGGTGGCATATGAAAACCTCTCCATACTTTTCATCACTAAAATTGTTAAAATCTGAACTTCCTCTGCCCAGATTTATTAGCTGACAGCAATAAAAACCCAACACTATTCTAGATGTAGTTAAATGACGGTGGTTTTTTGTTTTTTGTTTTAATGTACTAATTTCTATTGTTTTGACTTTTCCTTGATGCTCAACATTTTGCAAGTCTTCGGGATAAATCCAGTCGGTATCAGCAACCTCCCCTATTTCTGGCTTACAGTAGCCCCCAGGCACCTCAGACTGAATATGCTCAAAACAGAATGCATCATACTCCTCCCAGCCCTGCTTCTTTCTCATGCTTCAGAACTGATCATCTTGTAAACAAGTGCAACTATAGGATTCCACTTTCTCATGTGTGCTGTGCAGTCAAAGGGATGAGAAAATTTTGCATTTCACAGTTATTTTTAAAGATTTCTAATGGTCAAAAATATCTAAGTATACAACCGAGTAGCTGTTAGAACCATTGGTTATGCCTAGCACAGATTTTACTATCTAGTACCATGTGCAGAGGGTTCCCGGAGCCCTTTTCCCATAAGAAAGCACATAAATCATGAATCACTTATTAATTCCTTTCAGTACTGTTTTCAAGAATACAATAGATCAGTGCTTCTCAATGTTGAATGTTACACAAATCATCCAGGGATCTTGTTACTACACAGATTGTATTCAGTTGATAAGAGCCAGAAGAAGCTAAAAGTGTTTGTCAGATGTGATTGAAGGATGTCATTAGCCAGGAAAAGGAGAGTAGAGAAGTACCCAGGCACTTGATTCAACTTCTGATATAGAAATACATGGGACATATATTCCGTGATAACTACAGTGCCTCTGTCAATAAACCATGAGTTACTTACAATTATCCTAAGCTAAGAACATCCACTTAAAGAGAACGGTGAAGTGTAATTTAAAATGGTATGATCAAATACTGATACCAACTAAAGCTAATTTGCTCTTATATCTTTCAATATATTTTAAGATCTGATGCAGAGAGTACAGCCGTCCACCTGGAAGCTTTGAAAAAGTTAGCATTGGCGTTGCAGGAGAGAAAGTATGCTATTGAAGATCTGAAAGATCAAAAGCAGAAAATGATGGAGCATCTGAATTTAGATGACAAAGAATTAGTCAAAGAACAGACAAGTCACTTTGAACAGCGCTGGTTTCAGCTTGAGGACCTTGTCAAAAGGAAAATCCAAGTATCGGTCACCAACCTGGAGGAGTTAAATGTGCTGCAGTCCAGATTTCAGGAGCTAATGGAGTGGGCTGAGGAGCAACAGCCCAACATTGCTGAAGCCCTTAAGCAGAGCCCCCCTCCTGATATGGCCCAGGACCTCCTCATGGGTCACCTGGCCATTTGCAGTGACCTGGAGGCCAAACAGATGCTCCTGAAATCACTCATAAAGGATGCAGATAGGGTGATGGCCGATCTCGGCCTGAATGAGCGGCAAGTGATCCAGAAGGCACTCGCAGATGCACAAAAACACGTGAATTGTCTCGGCGACTTAGTGGGACAGCGAAGAAAGTACTTAAACAAGGCTTTGTCCGAGAAAACCCAGTTCCTCATGGCAGTGTTCCAGGCAACCAGCCAAATCCAGCAACACGAGCGAAAGATAATGTTCCGTGAGCATATCTGCCTGTTACCAGACGATGTCAGCAAACAAGTTAAAACCTGTAAGAGTGCACAAGCCAGCCTCAAGACTTACCAAAATGATGTCACTGGACTTTGGGCCCAGGGTCGTGAATTAATGAAAGGAGTCACAGAGCAGGAAAAGAGTGAGGTGTTGAGTAAGCTTCAGGAATTGCAGAGTGTCTATGACACTGTTTTACAAAAGTGTAGTCATCGGTTACAAGAACTAGAGAAAAATTTAGTTTCTAGGAAGCATTTTAAGGAAGATTTTGATAAAGCTTGTCACTGGCTAAAACAAGCAGATATTGTTACATTTCCAGAAATCAACTTAATGAATGAGAACACTGAGCTTCAAACACAATTGGCCAAATACCAGCACATTCTTGAGCAATCTCCAGAATATGAAAATCTTCTACTTACACTGCAGAGAACTGGACAGGCCATATTACCATCGCTGAATGAGGCTGATCATTCCTACCTCAGTGAAAAGCTAAATGCTTTGCCCCAACAATTTAATGTAATTGTTGCCCTGGCTAAAGACAAGTTCTATAAAGTCCAAGAAGCAATTCTTGCTCGAAAAGAATATGCTTCCTTGATCGAGTTGACAACCCAGTCTCTGAGTGAACTTGAAGACCAGTTCTTGAAGATGAACAGAGTCCCCAGTGACCTGATTGTTGAAGAGGCCCTGTCTCTTCGGGATGGTTGCAGAGCTCTTCTGGGTGAGGTAGCAGGCCTCGGGGAAGCGGTAGATGAACTGAACCAGAAAAAAGAAAGTTTTCGCAGCACTGGTCAGCCGTGGCAGCCAGACAAGATGCTGCACCTTGTTACCTGGTATCACAGGCTGAAGCGACAAACAGAACAAAGGGGTAGCTTATTAGAAGACACAGTGAGCGCTTACCAAGAGCATGAACAGCTGTGCAAACAGCTGGAGAGACAACTCCAGGCTGTGAAAACAGAGCAGTCCAAAGTGGACGAGGAAACACTGCCTGCAGAGGAGAAGCTCAAAATGTATCACTCCCTGGCAGGAAGTCTCCAGGACTCAGGGACTCTGCTAAAGCAAGTGACCATGCATCTCGAAGATCTTGCTGCACACCTTGATCCCTCGGTTTATGAGAAAGCCAAGCATCAGATCCAGTCCTGGCATGAAGAATTAAAACTGTTGACTTCCGCCATCGGTGAGACGGTGACCGAGTGTGAGAGCCGAATGGTGCAGAGTAGAGACTTCCAGACCGAGATGAGCCGCTCCTTGGACTGGCTGAGGAGGGTGAAGGCAGAACTGAGTGGGCCCGTGTGCCTGGACCTCAACCTGCAGGACATCCAAGAGGAAATCAGGAAGATCCAGATTCATCAGGAAGAGGTCCAGTCCAGCTTGAGAATCATGAGCGCCCTGAGTGACAAGGAGAAGGAGAAATCCACAAAAGCCAAGGAACTGATTTCTGCTGACTTGGCACATACCCTGGCTGAGCTCTCAGAGCTGGATGGAGACATTCAGGAAGCCTTACGGGCCAGACAGGTAGGTACAACAGAGCTTTACTTTGCTCTTTCCACTCTGCTCACTTGCACACAGGTATGAGGAATTTGTTTGGTGGTTGGTTAGAATTGCTTCTTTACATATTTCTTTTGTGATACCACCTAGAATCATCTTCAACAGGATGCCTTTTACTTTGCTCTTTCCACTCTGCTCACTTGCACACAGGTATGAGGAATTTGTTTGGTGGTTCGTTAGAATTGCTTCTTTACATATTTCTTTTGTGATACCACCTAGAATCATCTTCAACAGGATGCCTTTATTGTCTGTGTGCTCGGAATTCATGTGGTTAAGTGGGATCCATGTTGACTTTTCTTTCCTTA